TTGTAAACCTTTAATGAATAATTTGCATGCACATAAGTTATGATATAAATCTGAGATTATATACAATTCGTATATACCATAAAATGTAATGTTTACAAAAGTTTACGACATACGTTTTTACTTTTAATTGTTTAATGTTATCGATGATTAATTTGATGCCAACATGTTAAGTATCAGTATTAGTTTGTTAAAATGTGCTATTAGTATCAATGTTTTTGACATTTTATAAAAAACTTCAACATTTCCTTTACGAATGGCAGATAAGTAATTTCGAGAAATTAATTGTGACTTTTTGTGTAAGAATTAAAACAAATATCCATGGCTATGGTGCTGGTAAACAGATTTGCATCTCACTTTATAAAAATTACAAGACATTTACTTCTGACCAACAGAAAAGTTTACAGACAACAATCTTTTAAAGTTACAAATTTGTTTATGTGATATTTTTATATTTCGAAAGGGTTCAAATTTCATTTAATACCAGTATGGAATTACATTTGGGCTGCATGAACCAGAGAATAATTCTTAATTACATAATATTATCTGCATTGATCCTTTCGACATTATTGCAGAATTTTACTTTAATTAAGTAATATGAGTTACAGAATTTAAATATATGAAAAGAATATTCTTTCTTATTCGATTGAAATGTTTCAATACGTTTCGCACAGAAAAGTGCAGTTCCCTCGTCAATTACAAATGTATAAAATTTTGTTTGCATGGTGTGGGTAAATATATACTACAAAATGGTTAGTGTTTTCAATAGATCATGCTTAAAGTGGAACTTTTACAACATATAGATAAATTACAGTCACCGATGTTCAAACATGTATGAGACTGCATGTTACGCATGCAATTCGCGATGTCGTTGCAATTTACCAGGTACTGGTAAAATAACGACAAACTAAATTCTTAACGAAGTATAGTTCAAAAGTCGAAAGTTTACTCATATGATGCTGGAAACTAAGTCAAAGTTTCATAATTAAACTGCGAATGTTTATGTAAATATAAACATTTATGAGTGAAGACCTAAGAACCGAAATAATAAACAAATTTTTCTGCTGTGCTATAAGTTTCCCGAGGATCTAAAATAAACCTTATTCAACTTTATCAAACAGTTCATCCCACTGTGTTGTAAGTATATGAATACAAAAATTTACAGTTTACTTCATATCCTGCTTTTCTCTGAAACAACTCCTTGCAAAATGTTTAAACTCGAAAATAAAAACTTCAATTAAACATCATTAACAGTATCAGTGTAGAATATATATATTTATGTATTAGAAGCAGAAAATATTAAATAATATGGTTCACCATCAATATTGCATACGAGATTAGAATAAATAATTATTGTAATAGGCATTTAGTTCCCTTTAGTGAAATACAGGTAATCACTGTAGAATGCAGTATAATATATAATATGATGAAAAAGCATAATCTTTAAGAATAAAGATTTTTCAAGGAAAGATAAATAAGCAGAAGTGACATTTTGTCAAAGTACATACATGCGAATAAACATTCTGCAGAAGGAAGCTCAAAAAACGAAACTACTTCACTACAAAGAAAAATATTTCATTCAATATGATGCAAGAAAAAAAAATAAAGCGCAGTATTTAAAATTGATTAAATATATTTCTTACAGTTATTAAAGCAAAGTAATGTAGCCACAGCGATCTAGCAATTTATCTTTGATTTTTCATTAGTTGAACCATGTACATACAGACCAAAGTGATTATTTTCATATTTAAAATCGTTCTTTTGATTGGTAAAAATTGTAATGTAAAATTCATCACTGCTTTATGATTTCATTTTATCAGCTGTCTTTACTTTTCGTTTTAACAAGATAATCACTTTAGCAAATAAGTATCTCTATTATTAGATTCGTATAACGCAAACCCACATAACATAACAAGTTTTAGAAACACAGGGGAATAAAAACAGGGCATTATAACTTTACGTAAAAGAAATACAGTGAATTACAGAATGCAAATTCACGCATAACAGTGAGCAGTGAGGAAGAGTGTTAAAGAGGAGGCACCAACATTAATGATCATGCCCGCCATTAATTAGGAAGAGCTTTTATCATTTTTCACTAATTATTTCATTGCATAGAAAGTTTATTATAATGTTAGTCTGATTATACGTATGTGCTTTAATCAAAAGCGACCAGTTAATCCATCTTATTCATTACCGTATAATCAGTTATACAATAGTTTTCATCAAGGACTCATTAATTTTAATTTACGGCCAGCACGCGAAATATGATCTCCCCATGAGAGCAAAATGGGATTAAATGAATGAAGCATGATAGGGGTATCTTCTTTCGACATTTTTAATAGTTTCAGACTTTTCAGATTTTTTGGCAAAGTGAAATATTAATTTTTACTTCTTCGGTGCATAAAAAATATTCATTTGGTACAAAAAACATAGTAGAATAGTTACTATTAAGAAAGCAAGTAAATTTAGCAACATTCTTAACAAAAGATTCTAATTTTTATATTTCATGTGCCTATATTTTTCGCCTTTTCTTTATGAAGGTACAGGCATATTAAACAATACAGTTCTAAGCACGCGAATCTTGAAAGCAAATGTCATTTAATTAGATTATTGAAAACATAAATATGAAACTTCATTAAATTATTCCTTTATTTTACTCAGCAACGTTATATCATCTCGCAGAATATTTATTTATGACATTTAGTCGTGTATTATAATACAATCGACACGTTAAGAAGAACAACGACAAGACTTTTAAGTTAGTCGAATACTTTTATTTGCAAAGATAATGGACGGAAGATATAATAAACGAGAAAAATAACCAGGGCAAGAAAGAAATCGAAGATATAACTGCTCATTAACCCCTTAACACACGACTTTTCCCAGTATATACACTACCCTGAAACTTCCAGTTAAATATTAACACTAAACGTACCTGTACTTTGTATATATCTATTCCTACTATAACAGGTAAAACAACCGATTAAATAAAAGTAAATAAATTAAACGTTGAATTTTTTTGTGAAAACAGAAACAGAAGAGGAGACAAAGATTGAAGAACTGATTCGAATCGAACAATATAAGAGTTGATATAAAGTTGAATGCGCCAATGAAAATGCAGAATTTTTAATCAAATTTTGAAACGATCATGTGACCGGTCGTAGTACGTTTAGTGTTAAATTTATTCCCATTTAATTATCAAGATAAAATTGATAATATTCCTCGTTGGTAAACCATCTCATTTATATAAAAAAATGAACGAAATCCTGAATTCAAATAAGTTAATAAATTTGAATATCATCTTCTATTAATGTAGCGTGCCTATATACGTCACGATGATGGCCGTTAAAGGGTTAATACATATGATATACAAAGCAAATAGGATTAACACGTTCGTGAGCAAGATGGCTGTAGCTATCAACAATGAAACATCGTTTAAACTTGGGATAAGACAAACTTGTGCTTTTCATAAAACGAAGTAACATGAAGCTGCTAATTATACAGGGTGTTAATTTTAACTCGAGCATCTAAATTATTTCCGTTATTATTGAAAGTAAGAGAAGATTGACTACATAGAATGCTTAAATAGAATTTTTTTATCGTCATCAGATGCACGCCTTAAAACCACATACATTCTATTTAGTCAATTTTTTCTTACTTTTAATAATAGCGGAAATAATTTAGGTTCTCCAGTTAAAATTAACACCTAGTATACACAAAAAGACAGACTTCGAAACGTTATCTAGACCAATGAAACACATTTCCATTTAAAAATACGACTTCGATCTAATGAGGTATCCACGAACGTGTTAATATTATGAAAGTACTAATAAAAATATATAAATACAAACTACTATTTAGGTTAACACGTGTGTATGTCAAATTCGTTTTCAAATCCGAGAGTCAATAGTAAAATAAATATTATCACTAGACAGCGGATCTTTATGCGAAAATAAAGATTTCCCAAAGTGATACAAAGAAAGAAAGGTTAAATAGGAACGAATTCCTTCTCTTAACCCCTTGCCTCATGATTTCTTTCCTAACTGTGCTCTCTAGAATTTGTCATTAACAATTGACTAAATACAAAGAAGAATTACTATTACAATTTTTAATTAACAATAATATTTTCTTCTATATACCAGAATAATCCCAGAAAAGTAATATTTAATTTAAACTCAAAAAAACTAAGTGTCATTTATTTCCATTAATTTTCAAAGTTTCCTCGCGAGACTGACGATAATATACAAAAAAGGTTTAAGAATTTCGACAAACCGAGAATAATGTAATATTCTCAAAACCTCCAAAAATATATATAATTTCTCTAGTTTACATTCTATCAGTCCCTATCCATCACAAACGCACAAAATCCACTGTCTAATAGTCGCTACCATTCCGTTCCGAGGGACAGCAAGAAAGACTAAAGTTTCTTCCAATTTCCCTGCGTCCTCCGTTCTTTCTCCGGTGCGAATCGGTGGTCGAAATGTTCAGCGCTTCCGCGTTCGTTTCGTTTGTACCAAAGGGCGCGTGTTGTCATGTAAGTATGTATTTACATCAAAAGGCGATCGTTTCGCACAACTCTATCGACGTCGCTGGCCGCTACGTTTGTCCTGTTCTTGGTAGAATCCTACACATCGATCTCCTAACTAGCAACGTGGTACAAATAGCGTTAAGAAGTTACAGAAGTTGGCTCGGTACTCGCATTAGGGATCGAATCGTGTGACATTTATATACAAAGCGACAGACCGAGAAAGGCGGTAGACAGATTATTCCTTCTGGTTCTAGGAGAGTACAAGATGGTGCGTTGGTTGCACGTTCCCCGCTAACACTAACGAAACTCGGTCTAGTCGAGGTTTTTCATTATTTTTCTTTTGGTTTGATTCCTTTTTTTTCATTTCCTGTGTGGGTATGCATATGCGTGTACATTGCGTGGAAATGAGAGAGAGATAGAAAAAAGAGAGAGAAACGGTCACGTGTAGGCGTGTCAATTTATGAACTCGTTATACCGGCGTCTTTGGCAGTTTCCTGCGCGTCGGTGATGAGGGTGTTTTATCCGTTTCCGCTTCTGCAAAACATTTCAGAGACATTCGTGAGAAAAACAGTTTGCATCGGACGCGGAACTTTTTACGTTGACGGGTGTTCACATTTTTTACGAGCAGCACGAGTAGTACTCGTTAAAATAATTCTTACCGAGTCGAGAGACATGTTTTCGTAAACTGGTTCTTAATTTTCACTTAACTAGTTAATTGCATTTGACGAGTATGCACGTCATCTTCAAACTCGAAATGATACCAATATTTTCAACGGTGAATTAGTTATTTTTTCAGGTACACATGTAATTCTTCTTCGTTTTGCTATAGTTTATCGGTAGAATATATTATAGCTACATTTACACTGCGTTTCACGGGTATATACTTCATTGCTTGACTTTATTGCGCGCACAGTAAGAGATTTTTCAAAGTAAATTCCACAGTAACTGATTAACGCATTCGGAAGATGATAACGTAGTTCTATGTTATTAGGCCGTGTAATATGTAATAAGTGAGTTTTTCGTATTCATAAATGTTCGTAATCTTGTTGTTATTCCTCCGTTCTTCATGTAACTCGTTAAACTGTTTCATTGTCGATTGTCGGAGTAACCTTTTACAAACAAATTTTTCCGAATTATAATAACTATTTCTTGCATCGCTTTTTGGAAACACGGGTACTGTCGACATTTGTGTAATGTTCTTTTATTTCAAACTTGGAAATAATGCTGCAAAAACCGCTGAAAATATACAAAACATTTTGGGACGATACTGTGGATAAAAGAACAGTGTAGCGCTGATTTGCGAAATTTTTTTCCGCTGATGTTTCTTTGCAAAATGAGCGTAATAAACTGTAAACAGTACTTTATAACGATGTCTTTAGAATTTACTCATTTTAAACATTCATAATTTTTGAAAAGAGGAACGAATTCATTACAAGCACGTCGGTAGAAGTGTATCGAATCGAATAAAGCATATTTTGATTGATTAAACGTGTTTTACAACATTATATAAGGCTTTATTTTTTCCGCAATATCCGACATTTCATATTACACGACCTAATATTTTTAATTATTTAGCTGAATACCGGTAACGTAGTCCCAGTTTTAACTTTAGACTTTACAAGCACTTAACACTAGAACTACCGAACGTATATGATTAACACGCAATCCTTATAAAACTTGTAACAATAGATTTTCTCAGTTTTTTTCAGATATTCGTTATAGTACTCGAGTGAAACTATTTATTTTTCAAACCTTTTCGAATATTTGACGATTTCAAAATATTAAGAGTTGCGAAATACGAAAACTAAAACTTGTCATTTTAACTTGTACAGTAGTTTTGGTGTTTAACTGATTTTTTAGTTTGTCTTTGTAGAAGCTATAAGCGTACTGTATTAAGATTGCAACTGGATTACATTACAGTTTGGGTATTATTAAATTAATTTCTTGCGGGATTTCTAAAAAAAAACATGTGTACCTTTTTAGTAATTGTAAAGTAGGAAATCAGGAATGTGCCATTTTGACACATTTGGTAGTTCCAGTGTTAATTTTTTAAAAGAATGCTGGTCAATAAATACCACATTAATTAAAAAATTGAAGTTAAATATTTATAACATAATTCCATCATATGTTTTCTATATTCATAAATATTTAACCCCCTGAGTGGAAATAACTAAATAAATTATTTTATAAATCTGCCCTATCATAACCAAAATAATATTTTTATTTTCAAACATACATTTCATCGAACTAATAATGCTTTATTTTTCTTTATAATAGTTATGTCCATAAAATTGCAACAAAATTAAATTACGTAAACAAAAATATTTGAGTCGAAATAAATCGTAAGGGTTAAATAACATACCTTTGCGGTATTCAGCTATAGACTATGGAAAATTATATGCAGTCGCGAATGTGTTAATAATTAACATAGAAAATTAGCTCGTCTGCAGTTTCATTTTATTTTTATTAATATTTCGTACGTTATATTTGAATTATTCTGATTTCGTATATTGTTAAAACGTGTAATAGGTTGGTGCATATGAATTGTCGATTATGATGATCAATACATTCGATTACGCCAAATAAGAGTAGTTTAGAGCGGTCTTTGCTTGCGTGTTGAATTCTTATTTGATTTTTTTGCGGAATACTAATTGTTTCGAGGATAAAATTATTTTGACGTTGTTTGAAATTAAAACTACCGTATATGATGAATCGAGGCGAAGTTTTAAAATTTCATTCGTAAAAATTCTCATGCGCATTTACATTTCGGGTAAAGTCAGAATCAAGGGAAAATTTCGAACATTTTATTAATCGTTTGGTAGCAACTATTGTTTAATAAAGAAATCATTCAACAGAGACACTACAGGTAATACGATTTTCTAGAAATAAATCAACTTACCTCCTATAATTTAAAGATTTCGACAACAATGATCTGAACACATTTCTGTTCAATTAAGTACCAAAGATACTAATATCTTTACTAATAAAATTCATGTAAAATACAGTAATTCTATTATATTTGAAACGCAAATATATAACACAATAATTCTATTGTTATGGAATCCGATTAAAAATCCAATACTTCATATGCACCGACGTAATAGATGAAAACAAAAGAATTCTTAAAATACTTGGCTTAATAATACATTTCTAAGTATTTGATAAGCATGTATAACGATAAGTAACTATTTGCAATAGCATCACGATGGAAAACTCTACGATAACAGTCATATCAGATACAAATGTATAATGTAACGGTAAATTACTACTATGTATACAGGATGTTCGTGCAATTACTAGCCAGCATTTATTGGATAAATGGTAAGTGCACGGAAAATATCTATGCGCTATATACAGAAAATAATCTATTGTTACAATTTTTATACGGACAACATATCAATCGTATTGAATACTCGGTAGTTTTAGTATTAATAAACAAAAATTGTATATACAATAATACGAAATACTAGACTTATTTCTTTCATTTTTATTTCTTTCTTACGTAATGTTGAAATTCATTTTAACACTAGCCCTTCTACAATATAAACAAATATACGGTAATCATTAAAAAAATTAAAAGTCGTTTTCATTTTTTTCAAAGCTGTTATAAATTTTAAAACTTCACGTACACTATTACAGTGGACATGAAACAACAATGAAACTTCTTTCTTATTTATTTCGTCCATATACTTAATGTTAATACTTGCGCTAATTGATAATCGCATGAACACCCAGTATTTAAAAAGTCATTCAAATATTATGAGTTTAATAAAACATACAAAATCATAAACAATTATTACACTTCCTATTATACCTATTAACCAGATCGTTATTTCTCGATCTAAAGAGATACATCGCACAGTGGTCCATTTCAGCAATCTAGCCGGACAAAAGTCCCAATTAATATATACTTCACCAAAACAAAAGAAAACCAACTTTTTCTTAGGAAACTATTTATAATATATAATAATAACAAAATTGTTAATAATTTTATTGAACGATTTAATTTATCTAATTTAATAAAAAGATTTAAGTGAAAAAATTGTAATAATTAATAGATAAGTAAGGAAAATTATTTTTTTATATTTCTTTGATTAAGCAATGTTAGCTGATACTAAAATTATTCAAGTTTCCACCTTATTATTTCGATATTTATATCTAAAGAAAAATGATAGAATTTTGCAAAATTGCAAACATTTGCAGTTAAAATTTGTTAATATTATTTCGTTAATATGTTTCCACGAGGTTTTTGAATATTTTCAGATTTTTTAAGCTGAGAATATCGAAATATATAAAGGACAGATTATATTATATCTAGAAAAATTATATCTAGAAAAAACTGAAAAAATTCAAGAACCTCCCGGAACCAGATAATTTTTGTACTGCATTGTCTATTCGTATTTATAGAAAATATATTACAAATTTTAACTGTAAACGTTAACAACCCTGAATAATTTTATCATTTCCGTTTAAATACAAATATCGAAATAATAAGGATGTGAACTTGAAAAATTTTAGTATGAACTAACATTGCTTAATCAAAGATATATAAAAAAACCACAATTTTTCTTACTTATCTATTTATTATTAAAATTTCATTATTATATATTATTAGATATTAAATATTATGTATAATACATAGTTTTTTAAGAAAAACTTTCTTTTCTTCTATTTTAATGAGTTGTATATCAATTGGTACTTTTATCCAGCTGGTTTACCGAAACACACTATGCATCGCACAAAAAAAAATGTTTCAACTTTGAACCACCGTTCATCACGACTTTCGTGTCCATTTTAAAGAGTACCATACGTGATCTGCGACGCAAGCATTGCGTACCGTGCCCCAACAATACTTACCGTTCACAGATGGTTGGCATATGCTCTGAACGGCAAGGATCATTGAAACACTCCGTGCCATGAATCCGTGAACACCCTAAACTCACGAGCCGTTAAGGGAAGCAAAATAAACGTACTTTAACCTGATTCGTATGCGAAATCGATAGCTGCCGCTTCCGAGCGTGATCCATTCGGAACACGTCTGAAACGTTTTTCTCGAGACGCTACGAGTCTCCGTTACGAGTTATCGATTTCAAAGCTGGGTATACACTCTACCAATACTCGACGTCTAACGGTCGATTTTTTTTTCACCGGATGAAACGTGAATCAATGGGCCGTAACTCTCCACGATACTCACCCATCAGCATGCCCAAGTTTCCTGGTACTTTCCCCGTCGCTGGTACCGTACCTAGATCATCCAGCAGATCCCCGCTGCGTTCGCGTTCAGGCAAATGCATCGGTAATACAATCAGCTTGACGAGGTTCGGTCGACTACTTTGTTGTACTTACGTGTCAGGAGCCTGTTCGACCACCAGCTCGACCACATCGTCGCTGCGATCGGTTATCTGAGACACTTCCTCGAAGCTCCGATCTATCAGCGATACACCAGCCCATTCTAGCACCTGCGAGAAACACCTCGCTTTCGTTATTTTGTACACAAAGAAAAAGCGTTTGATATATTCATTCATAGAGGATCTTCAGTGTTTTGCATAACACTTGATTTTTCGTAGTAAAGTTAACCATTTAACTGCGTTTGGCGAGTATGCACATCATCTTAAAGTTTGAAATGATTCTTTTAATAATAATTAAATTCTTTTAACGATGAAAAAATTATTAATTTTTTCAGATAAACATATAATACTCTTTCGTTTTGCTTTTGTTTTTCATTAAGATATACCCTAGGTGTATCCATCTTACGTTTGACGACTATACACTTCATTTTCTGATTTTATTGCACGCAAAATGAGAGGTTTTTTAAACTAAATTCCACAATTGACAGGTTAATTGCTAGAGGATCTTGAGTGTTTTGCACAACACTTGATTTTTCGTAGCAAAGTTAAATGAGAAAGATTATTAACCGCTTGCCTTATTATAAACATAAATTTTACTCCATTTTTGTGAATACAAATTGAACATCACTCTCATGTTATCAATTATTATAGTTTAGAGCAAACATAAACATAGAATATGCCCAGGATTTTTGGTTTTATTGAATAAATTTTTAATAATAAACTATCGGTGTAAGTAAAGTAAAGGTGTATCGATCATAGTTGAGAAAGAAATCGTAGGGCAAGGGGTCAAGTTAAATGGACGAAATAAAACGTAAAATTTTAAATCAAATTTTAACCTGTTAACTGTAGAATTTAATTTCAAAATTCTCTGATAATAGTCGCAATAAAATCAAATACTGATTGTATACCCATCTAATGCAGGCAAAATGCACCTAGCATATATTCTAACGTAAAGCTAAAGCAAAACGTCGGAAAATGACATGTATATCTGAAACAAGAAATAATTTATCGTTGAAAGAATTAGTATCATCTTGATTTTAAGATGTCGTGTATACTTGTTGAACGTAGTTAACTGGTTAAAACCGGTCATCTGACCGGTTGCGATAAGTTTAGTATTAATCATAAATACAGCGACACAGTTTTATAGAAGGCATTAAAGAAAACTAATTTACAAAATGTCGATTAACAAAGGAACGAAGTAACCTGTCTGTAATGAATAAAATATTACGATACTTCATAAAAATCCCTGCATAAAAGTGTCAATAAAAATATTTAAATAAAACTTTGTAACTTTAGCATCGGAATACAGAGAGAAATACAATAATAATATCAATGGCAATATTTTGTTTTCCTTTGTAGCTTCACTTTTATATTCGACGTAGTTAAAGAGAAGTAAAAACGTTGAAACAAACAGGCGACACGAAACTTCACACTTTGAATTCCAGCGATTCCTTTGCTGGTACTTCTTTTATAATCGACTCGCTTTTAAAACCGCGATACAAAAGGGTCAACTACGTGTGAACCTGTAATTACTTATTTGCAGAATCATTTCCACTGTGTAAAACCGAGCGACCATATGTCAATGAATTCGTGCGATTTTGTGAAATATAACGTCGCAGTCCACGTTCGCGATTGTATCACGTTTCCGATCTGCGCAGCTGTCGATAACTTAATTAAAATCACAGCTGCAGAGAATAGTTGTCGATACTCGCACGCATTAACCGCTTACAACAACGTCACCGGCAGCAGTGGACACCTATTGCGAGAGTGTCCTTTTTTTACTTTAGTCTAAATTTAAAAAATCATTTCTAAATTGAATTCACACTATACAGTATAAAGAATATAAATCTTTTGAGATCAAGTTGTTATGTTAGATATTGTAATATACGTAAGTGAAAAATGTCGGTAAGAATCTATTAATCCATTTACATCATACAGACGAAATGATAAATATACTCGTATTATCAAATTTTTTCATTGAATCTAAATAAAATAATATTTCAAGCAGTTATTTGTAAAGTATTATATACAGTTGAAGGAAAAAATTCATACGTATATTTTTATTTAATAATTTGGATTATTTTACCCTGACTAATAATTTCATCTGTTGGCCATCACCACTATTCATTTATAATGCGAATACATGATATATTCTGGTGACAATGGTTAAGAAAATATGAGTTTGAAATGTTTATTTAAAGCGAGTTCGTAATTGAAACGTCAGAGAAAACATGTAGGAAATATGTAAATTGTCCATATTCAAGTTCGTTAGTTTTGCACAAGGAAAATATATATGTAGGGCATTCCCTTACCTTGTTGCCGCGTTGTATGCCGGCTTTGGCTGCAGGTCCATCTGGCACAACCCACAACACATATGCATAAGTACGTCCGTCAGGCCCTGGGTTACCACGTACCACTCGTAGACCGAAACCACTTGCTGAAAAAATAAATTGAAAATTTTGTAGAAATTGCTTAAACATGCACCAGTCAATTATACTTCCAAGAGTAAATTAGTTTGACCAACAATTTACTTCGCAAACATTCGATATTGTCTTGATTAATCAAAACTTATTCAAAATGAAAAATATATTGCAGTTTATTGAAATTTTCATCTTGCTTAAGATCTGATAAAGTCAATACCAACAAAATAGAACTATAATCGTATAACCTTCATTTTATATCAGAAAATTATTGTTTTGTATTTTGACCTTGTATTTATATCTAAAACTCTTGTTATATTTTGTGTTTACAGAGTTTATTTTGTGATTTATTGCTTACTTATATTTTCTAAATTGTCAAACGAATATGTTTAAAATTGTATGCATAATAACACAGCCCTGTACGATATTATCTTACAAAGATGAGTTAAGGTTGAGAAGAGACTACTCGAGCAATTCTCTTGTAAGATGTACCTAGTTGTCCATGTAAATTCCATTATTTCTAAGTAACATGGCCCTAATAAAACAAACTAATGACTTCCTTTCAACAATTACAGGTAATCAGATTTTTCAGTTCTCTTCAGCTACATCGACCGCTGCAACCACTGAGTACCGATGCTACGATCAAACAAGTCCTCACTGCGAGTGCGAACTGACCCTACATTCACTTTAATATATGCTGTGAAATCTAATCAAGAGATGTCCGATCACGATATTCTGCCCTTTTCTCATTTTTTGGTTAAAAATTTTGAAAATGTTTTAAAAAATATAAGATGATTAAAACATGTATGACCCTATGATCGATGGCAAATTTACATACGAAAATAAGTAAAAAATGTCCACTGCATTTGTCTTATACGCATTAGTTTTTAAGTTATAAATGTATTGTAGACGGTTCGCCCTTTTGCTTGCCGATACTTGAGGGCCTGTGAGATAGTCCAGGCCCGTTAAGAAGTTTATGACTAAGGGGACCACCATGACCTGGGTCACGTACGCCCTCGACTGAGGAGCTTTCCTTTTTGGAAAGCAGTTGAGGAAGGGCAGTTCGTCGCCGTTCCTCGTTAGAGCCACATCGCATAATAAATATATTTAACCTGACTACGAACTTAGTTTTTATTTTAGTAGTCCTACAGTTTTCAGAAGTGGGATCCGTATAGTTTTAGGTTGGTGCGTGATAAAGAAAACGCGATCAGCTGCGTTAAGCCGGTTAACACTGTGAATTTTGTACGTTTTAGAACTTTTGAACTTTTAGTTGTACTGCGACGTGCTTAGTGGAACGAAGAATTTAGACTGATTTTGTTTTATTCGCAAAGATTAATGAACTTTTATTAAGTGGTCATATAATTTAGTTTGAACCGTGGTACAATGGCAGGAAAGATAAATTTCAATGACTTGGCCATGGCCGAATTGAAGGAACAATTAAAAATTAGGAATCTGCCTGTGTCGGGCAACAAAAACGAATTGATCGCCCGGTTGTTCGCTACTGAACCGGATATTGAAGATGCTCTTCAGAGGCATTCGGACATGGAACAGTGCGAAAACGCCCAAGCCTAAATTCCACCAACAGTTGAGCGAGTTTTTATTTTAGTAACCCTACAGTTTGTTGAAGCACGAGGCGAATACTTTTAATATTTTCTTAAAAAATTTGTAACTAAAAAGTTAAGACATAAATTCATAGAACATTTTTCCTTATTTTCATGCGTAGATTTCTTATCTAAAATGTGAATATACATTTACGAATCACTATACATCGAACACTAGTGATTTTCCATTTTTGTCTAATGTTTTTAATCAGGAAAGATATTAATAAGAAATTTCTTCCTTTTTTTTCATCTTCGTTTTTTTATAATGGGCGTAATGTTTATTACAAACGATATCTGGAGTGGTGATTTTGAAATTTATGACATTATTGAAAGGAATGGTTGATTCTATTTTTACTGTGTATCGTTCCTATTACTTCCTAAATTCTTCAGCAAGTTGTATTTTTCAATCTTCCTTCGTACAGTTTGTACATTTTCATTATTCTGTATAGATACTTTTATTAATTGTATGCTTTTCTATAAAAATTCTATATTGAATATTTTTTAGAAGTAAAATGCAACATTGATTCACATTAAAATAAAGTAAGTCAATAAAAGTCACGAAAATGCATGAATGCATAATAATTTGTTCTTTAACACTAGCATAACCTTACTCATTAAGATGACGGGTCTCGATTTTTTTATTTTGCAATTATTGATACGTCAAAAGTCTTAAATATCCGAAATAATTTAAAAAATAAATAGTTTCACTTCAATATCATAAGAAACCCAAAAGTTAAAAAGAACAACACTTTTTATTTTCAAGAACTTCTTTATATATGAAAGTGGGGTCAGAGTTGATGGTCGATCTTATCCGAAGATACGTCGGATTAAAAGGACTGAAATGATAATAAAATGGTACGAAAATCCCACGAGCTCATTTAGTTGCCTAGTATATCGTTTTGCGTGACCTAGGTGAGTAAACGAAATTATGGGTTCTGTTGGCGTTAGACAATTCGAAACAATGTCTTAACCTTTACACTGCGACATTCAACTCTACTTGATTGTTACTGCATAATCCATTCACTGTAGGAGTGTAGGTATTTTAGTATAACTGTGGACTAAGTTCCGACAAAATTTATTTCCCTCCAGTGTGAGAAACAACAATGTTATCTATTGCACTGTTTGTAGTAGACATTGAATAACGTATTACTTGCATATGAATTCATCCATCAAGATCACATCATTCATACAGATATGCAAGTATGTATTGCTACGAGATCACTTGATAGCTAGGCTGAGGAATTGTTGATGGACTGGCTGAGGACTGATTCATTTTTTTTTTCATTCTTTTCACCCAATTTTCTATTACTTTTATTTCCTAATTTCTGATATTTTCAATCGCTAATTTACTATACATCTGTACAATTACCCGTAATCAATCAAAATTATAAAGCTGTAAATCAGAAAGATACCTATTGACATCAAGTCATCTCCCAATAGCAGTAGATATATGTATCAATATGTTATATTCAATGACATTATGCATTATAATGAACAATATAATGTATATTACGTTACACAATATAGCATATAACATAGAATACAGTATAATATATAACATACAAACATAGTTTTGTGTAAATTGTGTGTAAACGTTTTTGTGTGATTTGTGGTGAAGGTAAAAATGCAGCAAAGAAATAGTACGTAGAAAAATGTTTTATTTGTGAGTTGCGCGACGTTTAGATTTACACTTCGTCGTTCAGCGTGGATCCGTCCTTTTATGCGCTTTTTGGATTCTATGCTGGAGACAATTGACGATCGATGAACGGTCGATTTTCGTCATGGTCTGCGCTGCTGCGCTACACTCGTGGCTGGCCGCGCAGCCGCCACAGATTTGTGTAAATTGATCTGGCCAGAATTTTTGTAGATTCTTTTAGCATACACTGTATTAAAAGGATATCCTATGTGTTCCGTTCGATGCGGAACAAAACGGCGAAAATCCTCGAAGGTTTGTTTATGATATGGACGTGCCAACAAATTTATTTTCGGGATTAGCTTTTTTCGAACTCAGTTTATTTATTTTTGTTGCAAGGGGCAATTTCACCCTAAACCATGATAAAATCATTTAGTCAATCCGCGCATGTCCAGACAATAGTTTTGGAATTTTACTTCGTTCGTACAGACAACCGACCATATCATAAACCGGGAATTTCCGAAGGGTCGACTCGAACCTCGTTCGTAACAGTTTCGTCAGACATGAGTCAACTTGGAGGAATTTCCAAGACATCGACAAATCTTCGAGGATCCCTCGCACGTGGCCATTGCCCTCACCCTTGCACCAAGAGGACTGGCCAAGGAGCGTCGTCGAAGACGCCTCCGATTTTTGGAATTATACGCCGATTGGGTATTTTCGACTTTCCAATCAGCGCACTTGATACAAAACCTGTAGGTGTTGTATAAAAACACCTACATGATCGCACTCGCATCAGTTACGCAGTTACAGTCAGAAACACAGTTAACACAGAATCACTCAACCGTTCGGAGTGACGATATATCATTCATTCTTTCACACATTCATCAAGTCCATCGTTCGGGACAAACATTCATTCAGATTAGTTCAGTTACGATCTCAATGAAGAAACTCAGTCTTCCAGTCAAGTCCATCGTTCGGGACAATCAGTCACGACAGTTACGAATTGTCATTCAGACACCAAGCAGATACCGATCAGATTTTCAGACACTCAACCGTTCGGAGTAACGAGATTCTATCAGATTCTGCAAGTCCATCGTTCGGGACAACTACACTCCAGCTTCACACTCCGAAAAAGCATCCAATTCGAAATTCGAGAATTCGTTCGTCTCGAAACGCGCAACATCAAACGGGTTCTCAGTATCGTGAGAAACCGGTGGTCTGATCTCAATCATTCGGAGATCAGAATCGAATCAGTCGATTTCTGAAGAAATTTGGAAATCGAAGCGTCGCGAGTATTAACGAGACCTAAAGTTAAAGCTGGGATTTACAACCCTAGCCGAGGAATTAAATCCGCGTTAATAATCGTGTACGGGCGTGCAACTATCGAGGTTGTCACGCTGCGACGTCACATTTTTAGTCCTTCGAGCCGGAGCTGTGACGTAACACTAGGGTTATGAGTTCAAAGAGTCAATTCTTTTGCGATTGCCTAAATCACAAAGAGTGTACTCGACGTTTAAAAAATATGAATTCAAAATTCTGAAATCAAGTTTACTGAAATAACAAAATTGTAGTCTATTCGATGAGACTTTGACATGACAGCTGTCAGATTTAACATATTGGTGGCACGCAAACGTGATTTTGTTATTTTCAGATTTACTCTATCTAATTAAAATGTTCGTGTCTGTTACTTTGGCTAAAAATATTTCTCAATAATAAAACTACATAATAGAATCTTGCATTTTACGATTAAAAGAACATCTTGTGATAAATCTGTAATATTCTT